GATTTTTGTTGCTATCTGTGAACAGCATTGTATGTACTTTAAGATGGGTGATAAAGTGACTAGATGTAGATAGGCGTATGAGAGTGAAAGAATGCAGAAATAGTCCTAGAAGAAATAATTTATTTTTACTTAAAGCATATTTAGGTAGGTAGTAGAGTTAATAGAAAAATATTGGATTTTTTTTGTGGATACTTTAATCATAACAGAAGACAGAAGTTCTCACTTCAAAATTTTATTTTTGCTATATAGTGCATGGTTTTTACTGAGGATCAGCTTTGTCAGTACTTTGAAAAGGATTCACGAGGTGAGGGCACTGTGCATGACGATTTTGAAGACAAAAGTTATTTCATCTGGAGAGCTTTATATCAGTTTGTTTTATTGGGATGCATGTCCCACAGATACATTCATATGGAGAAGCTAACATGAGATATGGTGGTGCTTTGGGTTTGGAAGCACTGGATTGGTTTTGGGGAGGGCTTAGATTTACTAATTTTGTTAGTGTCAGTTCCAATGAAATTATTCAGTGTGGCAAATTTTTTTTTTTTAAGATAATGTTTAGATTCAATCGGATTCCTGCTCCTTGGATACTGAAACACACAAAATACACAAAATTAAAAGAGAATTATGCTACTCACATGAGTAATGTAAATTGTCAAAGAATGGTACATTAGAGATTAGCCTAGCTATGTGGTTCCTTCAGATCTAACTGTTGCAGGCTCTCTCCCTAATGGTTACAACTGTTGATTTAACAGCTGTGCTTCCTCTTCTTTTTAGAATTTTTGCTTTCTGTTCTATAGCAAGAATGACACCTCTTCCCAAACCAGCGCAGCATGTAATTGGTGGTTATGATACAATTACTGGATTATATAGCTGTCTCCATAATCATCAAGGCTGATGTTAATTCAAGGGTGCACAACTTTGACTGAAACTACCTTTCAAAGTAGTTAGGAGGCCTCTGTTTCTCTCCTTTATTCACTTGTTTTGCTGTTTGCCCTGCATGTATCTTCTGGGCATTTTTTCAGAGGTGGTGGTAATGCCTGCTGTGAACTCTGTTTTAGCACATTATTGTATTAGCAAGAATGCCCCTCCCCAATGTTCTCTTTCATTGTCACAAATTTCAACTTGCAGAAGAAAATTCCATCAGAATGGACAAAAAGCGTCTCGGTACCCTCCTACTTAAAATAGCACAGAATGATGGGAGTAATAAAAACACAGTGAGAAAGTAAAGGTAGCTAAACACCTACTAAAGCAGGCTAAACCAAGCAAACAACAAAGATCTTTAAAAATATATGATGCTTCCATTTAAGAAAACAAACAAAACTGAATAAATTGTCTAGGTAACACTTATGCCAAGTACCATAATTTCTAACTATAGCATTATTATCTCCCCTTTCATCCTTTCTTTAGGGACAAGAGCTGGTTTGTTTTGTGATTTTTCTAATGCACATAATATGTTGTGGGTACTACTGAAGTCTAAATTATACAGATGTAATTACAAAAATGATTCTTACAGATAGGAAAAATATACTCACTACATTTTCCAGACAATTTCACTATTATTTTGAATGAAAATAATGTCTGATGTTTGTCTCCAGGAAACAGATAATTGAAGTATCATGCTTGGGGGAGGCTTGTGTTTTCAACTGAAGTAGCAAGGCTGAAGATTTAATAATAAGAAATGTTATAAATGTGGGCTTCTAGCTGTAGGTACCTTGATTCCAAAAGCTTTGCTCTGGAGACTGCTGAGATTAGGTATTAGGATGAATCACGGAGAAAAAACAGTTGCAAAAATGAAGGATAAATAATTCAGGAAATATTGTCTTGAAGTAGATTTAGAGGTGGATATGAAGCCAGTGTGGAACATAAAGCAACAATGATCCTATTTGTCTGCTACCTGAGTGGATATTAAGTGTGTATTTTAAACTACCAGGAGTTTCCATATGGACTTTGGAGTTTGTTTCATATTTTAGATTCTTCACTAAAATAGAATGGGGAGCTAGTAAGGAATAGCTTATCTGGGAGAAGATGAGAATGGCTGTACTTCTACAGATGAACAATCCTCTCGCTACAGCAGTGCCTGGTAGCACGTGTCTAGGAAGGAGTATTGGGACTCATTGTTTGTGTCTTTCACCAAAAACTTGGTGAAAAATTTCAAATCTTCAGCAGTTTGTGGCTGCAGAAATTCCCGAGACAGAGGTGATGGCTTTTCATCTAAGAATTATAAATTATTTTTTCATCTTTGACTTTTCCAGTGGCTTTCTGAACCCATGCAAGCTTTTAGCATCAATTGTATACATTCACATCTGTATCTTAGGGGAGAAGTATCTGAGCACACACACAGCAGGTACCCATTCTGTCTCCTGCTGTCCAGACATACCCTTGTAGGTAAGACTGACTAGAACTCCAGTTACAGTCCTGTAGTGGTTGTTCATGCCTTTCTTTCTACCATGTCTATACCTCATGCAATCAGTGGCTTCTTGTTTATTCACTCCCCCCGCCTTTCTTATTTAGTTGTTAGCTTAATATTTCATCAATACAGACTCCATTATGATCCTTCATTATTATGTAACTTGCTCCTCCTTAACAAGGTGTTGATATTTGAAGTCCTAGGTAATATTTCAGACCATACGGAAGTAGTTACCTATAACTTCGAACTATGTTACCACTTATATATAAACTGCCAGTGACACATCAGCTCTGTTGTGCCTACATAGAAAGGAAAAAAAAAACCTTCAGTAATAAACCAGAAACCATCCTTTCCCCTCCTTCAACACTTTCTTGATATCAGTCAAGAAATGAAGGAGAAAGGGTCTCTTGAACATGAATTAATGAGGGAGAAGGAAACAGTCCAGTTCTAGCAATGTGAAAATGAGAAGTCAAAATGAGTGGGATGGAATTTGTTTCGTATGTTGGGGTTTTTTCATTTGTATATGGGATAAGCTGTGAAAACAAGAATTTTTTTTTTCCCCTTTTTTAACTTCGTGTTCTGTATCTGAATGTTGATATCACACATGAGTTTTTACAGGATATATGTTAGACGGACTTCTTGTCTCAGGGAATTTATTGTATAATGAAACTGGCACAATGTGAATGTCTTAAACTCAACTACAGAAAGTAAACAAAAAAATAAGTATAATAAAGATTTGACTTTAACCCAGGAAATGCATACTTTTCTGTCTCTGTTCTTCAAAAAGACAGTCTACTTCTATAATTTCATTGCTGCTTTGTTGCTGATATTCAGTACTGAAAAAAAACTCAAGCAATTAAATTGATGTGGACAGTAAGTAGCTTGTGATATGAAGAAGATATTTAACATACTTAAGATTTGATCCCACTTTATGTTTAAACTGCTCTAATATAGTGTAGATAAGATACCTTTTATTTTAAGGCCACCAAAGGCTAAAAGCTACCGAAAGCTCTGTCCTGTGAGTATCTGTGACAGGAATTCCTGTTTACACTAAGAGTAGAAGGTATTGTTGAAGCTGATTTTCCTTTTTTTTTTTTTTTTTGTAAGTGGCAACTGCTTAAATTCTCAGATCTCATAGCTGCTTGACGCTGTTGGGTGAGAAATATTGGTAGCTAGTATTTAATTGCCTGCATTTCATATTGAAGACAATAAAGCTCTTTATTTGTTTTTAAACCAAGAGTACTGGCCACACAAGCAGCCCTACTGGAAGCTAGTTGGGCCACAGAACACTTTACACTTTTTGAATCATGCTGGTTTTTTCAAGTTTTTTGTTTACCTTAGGCTACCACCTTTTAACGTCTTCAGAGAGACATGCACTAGTTTATTCCTTAATAGAACAAAAATGGGGTTTCTGTGTGCACTACAAAGATGTTCACAGTGGGGGTTTATGTTGATGCCTAATTAATGAAACAGAAGGGAGATCATTTAGTTGTGTTGTGGTTGCAGTAAAGTTCTTCTGTAAGGTGTTGGACATGTACTTCTTGTTTCTTCCCTCAAATTCCTGGTTTTTTTTAATCAGAAAATACAATATAAACATGTCAAATTATGCTAAATTTCAGTTCAACAACTAATATGTGAAATAATTTTAACCTCATTAAAAGACAGAAAAATTATGCTTAAGAGTATTGCCATCAATGACTCTTCCAAGATCATTGTAATAGGTTGGAACAAGAACTGTACAGCAGTACTAAAAGTAACTTCAAAGAATCATTAATTCTGTTAACTTCAGGAATCTGGATTTCATTCTAAGGGTGGAAGTGTGGTCAGAAGGAGTTAAAAAATAGTTACATGAGCTGTGTCTAATTCATGTAGGTACTTCTGAGTTACTATAGTCACAGTTCAACTTTTTCTGTAACTGTCTTCTATGTTGTTCTCACCAAAGACATTAAATTCAGTGTACTTCCAAATCGCTTGAACTATTTTATCTAGCTTCAACATTTTGTTAGAGCTTGCTGCTTCTGCCTGAGAAGCTGTGTTTTGTGTGACACTGAAATCAGTGTGGCTGCCTAAAAATTCTATGGAAAAAATTGTTCTAAACTAGAAGTATGGGTACTGCCCTGACGCTAGAATAATAGTTTTCCATTTTAAGTATAACTTACCACTTTGGAAAACGGTGTATTCTGAGTACTTATGATGGCATTGATGGCAACTGTTCATGTGGTCTTTAAAGTAGTTGGAAATAAATTTTTAAAGTCTTTGATTTTGGAGGCTTTGTATGTCTAATGATATTTAGAATCAACGTGAGAGATCGCTCTTAACACTCGTTCTAAATCATTGGCTTGTAGTATCATTTCTGCCTAGCAATAATTTTTCATTGTAGTGATTTTTAAGAATCGAGGAAGAATTAGCTTATGTTTGTGACATGCTCTGAATATGCAACATGTTGTATGAACACTTCACAGTACTATGCAAGTACTCGCATGGCATGCCTATATTGTGAAAATATTTTTTTCAAATGGATGAATAAGTATTGTGGGGAGGCTTGTTCTGTTTCTTGGTTACCAGTAATTCCTTTTAATTACTTGTTTTCCAGATAATGGAGGGCAGACTTTGGCAGGTGGGAATAACTGGCCGCTGAGAGGAAGAAAATGGACCCTCTGGGAAGGAGGAGTGAGAGGTGTAGGCTTTGTTGCAAGTCCTTTACTGAAGCAAAAAGGTGTAGAAAGTCATGAACTCATCCATATCTCTGACTGGCTGCCAACGCTGGTGCACCTTGCTGGAGGACATACCAATGGCACTAAGCCTTTGGATGGCTTTGATGTTTGGAAAACTATCAGGTAACTTGCATTTTAAATCACCAAGTCAGCATTCTGATATGAAAAGAATTCAGTCAGGCCAGAGAACAGCGTGAGAACTGAGAGGGTGTCATGGGTTCAGCTGAGACAGAGCTAACTTTCTTCGTAGTAGCTAGCAAGAGGCTGTGTTTTGGATTCGTGCTCAGAAGCAAGCTGATAACATACTGATGTTTGTAGTTGTTACCAGGACATTCAACGACATTTCAGCTTCTCTGCTGGGCCAGTGTCTCCAGGTGCAGGAGATGCTGGGAGGGAGCACAGCCCCAATTACTAGCCTAGGATTTGATCTTAGGTTTTGGATTGAGACCCGAAGTGGCCAACAGTCTATTCCATAACCTACATGTCATGCCCATTATATAGGGGAGGCTTAGTTATTAAATTGTTCTTATCTCAACCCACAAGTCTTTTTGTCCCTTGACCCCTTTAATTTTCTCCCCCATCCCCAGGAGGGAGGGAGTGAGAGAGCAGTTGTGTGGGTTGTCTCCCAGGCAAGGGTAGACCCATCAAAGAGGGGAATATTACGTGTTCCTTTCCCTGAATAAAGGGAAGGTGTAAGTGCAATTAACTTTGCTATCCAGGAGAGAATTGTCTAGGTTGCAAACTAATCCTTATCACAGATGCAAAACCTCCGTGCAGCTTTAACTTGGTATGTAGAATTTATCAGTGTAGACACAGCAATGCACAAACATGCAATACTTTTTCAAGAATGCTCTGTGATCCAGAAATATGTTAAATGATTTTGCACAGCATGGAGTAGAAGTTAGTAAATTTTGTGGTCTCAGCCGTGCTCTCTGCAGAGCCCAGTTAGGTGTCTCTGCTGTATGTGTCTATGCAGACATTAAACTCACTGAGCATGAATTCCACTTTGATGGTTTGTTAGCTCAGTGCGGGACCTGTCAGGGTGGCTCCAAGTGTAACCATTTGAGTAGGTCTATATCATGCTGTCCAGTGTCTCAGAAAGCCTGTGAGGTTGAATACAAAAGCAGACATGATGTGATTCCTGAGAGGTCATGATTATGTGCCCAATTTAAGCAAGCTGTAGCACTCAGGAGTACAGTGCAGACACGCTGAGAAGGCTGGAAAAAGAGGCAGCTTAACTCCAGCTGGGTTGGCACTGAGACCAAGCTAATGACTTTTACTGGGCTCTCTCCAACTCTGTGCACCTCTCATGCTGTCTGGATTAACTGGGATATCCCAAACCCCATTAGTTCAGATAATGGAGAGTCTTCTGTGCACTAAAAGAAAAATGAGTTAAATCTCATACATTTTTCTTCTCAAAAATAATAATTAAAATGGTATCACAAGTGCTGGATACTGGGGGCTCTGGGTGCATCTGAGTATGTGCTTATTACTGGTGCACTGGGCTCAGCAGAGTAAACTAGGATAGAATGTAAAAGAATAAATGAAATAGGCATTAACTGGTAATGTGGCTTTTTCACTGGGACAGACTATCAAAAGAAACTCTGTTGTTGCCCTTTGTGGTATCTTCAGTGAAGACTTATATTCAGTCAGTCCGTCATCTTTCAAAGGTTTTCTTTTATTCTAATGTTCTTTTATTCTACTAAAATGAATTACAAAGTCCTTAAAACATGAATTTCTTCAGAATTTTAAGCCCCTGTGACCAACCCTTAATTTTCCAAAAATTGCACTATGACTTTGGTTTGAATTCCTTTGTTTCTCCCTCTTCTGTGCTGCATGTAATGTATTCGTCTGTCGTGGTTTTAAAAGCCACCACACAGCCTCTTGTTAAAAACCTCGTGGGCTGAGGCAAGGACAGGGAGGGTTCACTCACCACTTATGGTCTTGAGTAAGAAACTGAGACAACTTGGTAAAACACAAAAAAACCCCAATTTAATTTATTAACTATTTACAATCAAAAACAAAGCAAAAAAAAAAAAGAACTACATCTTAGAAAGGCACTTCTCCCCCACCCCTCCCTTCTTCTCAGGCCCAAAGGCTTTGTTCCTGGTTTCTCTACCTTCTCCCCCCTGGAGAATGGAGGTTGTGGTCAGTCCATGTTGTCTCTGACACTTCTTTCTCCTCATGAGAGGGCTCCTCACAATCTTTCCCTGCTCCAGCATGGGGTCCCTTCTCACGGGAGAGTCCTTCACAAACTGCTCCAACATGAGTCCTTCCCACATGGGGTCACAGTCCTCTGACAATGGCCAAGCTCTGGTGTGGGTCTCTTCAACAAAATTCCCGGACTCCTTCAGGCACAGCTACTTCCTCCAGCATGGGGTCCTCCACGGCTACATCTCCATGAGCTACAAACAATCTCCACGCTGCAGGGGAATCTCTGTTCTGGGGCACCTCCTCCCTCTCCTTTCTCTTCACTGACCTTCGCATCTGCATAGTTGTCTCTTGGATCCCACTTCTCTCTCTGACGCAGGTTCTTTCATCGGCTCCTGAGAAACTACTGTCTCTTGGGCGAGCCATGACGGGGGCTTGGGCTGCACCAGGTCAGCTTACAGAAGCCGGGCAGGCAGCTGGACAGCAGGGCTCATGCCAACCCCCATGTTCTGTGTCCCTCTTCAATATGTTATTCGCAGAGGTGCCGATTGGCTCAGCCCTGGCCTGGGGTGGGTCCAGCCTGGAGGTGGGGAACTCCCAGCAGCTTCTCACAGGGGCCAGCTTGGATAGTACTCCTCCCCCCCACCCCAGCTCCAAAGGCTTGGAGCCAGGGCTGGGGGGAACTTTTAGCAGTTACTTAGAGAAGCCACCACTGTAGCCCCTCCCTCACTACCGGAGCAGGCTTGGAGCTGGGAGAACTCTTAGCAGTCACTGACAGGAGCCATCACTGTGGCCCCTCCCCTGCTACCAGACAAACCCAGCACACAAAACCACAACATCATCGATGGGGCTAAATCCTATTGTCTGTGTTCTTAGAAATTGTATTTCTTTTAGTTGGTCTTTGAATGTAGTTTTAATTCACAGAAGAATGATTTAGGATGGAAAGTTTAGTACCGCTGAAGCAGAATAAAAGGACTAGCAATTCTATTTCCTACATGCTGTTCATCTGAGAATTATTGTTTTGTTTCTTTTGATACTTTGTTCTGTTTTTATAGCAGTCAGACAATATTATATTATGTGTGTTATAACTTTTTGTCCCCTTCTCAGAGTTCCCTCTCCAGCTTGTAGAAGAAATGTAGCTATTTTCTGCAATTTCCTATATAGTGCATTATGATAAAACACTGATTTTTGTTTGTCTTAGCATCCTAGGCTGTGAATTACAGAAGTTAGTGCCTAAACAAGCATGAGCAGCGAGTGTTTGGTTAGGGATTTTTATGAGACATTGAGAGTTAGAGGAGGCAGAGGTGAACCCATCTACCTGTCACTGGTTAGCCCTTGAAGTAAAAAACAAACAAACAAAAAAAACCCCAAAAAAACCAAACCCAAACACAAGTCCTCCCCGCCAAAACCCACATAGTGAGTTCAGAATTACTTTGTTTGTACCTTTAGTAGGATTACCTGTTTTGAAACTGCTAAGCTTGATTTCCTCCTCAGTGCTGCCTCTGTTTCTGAGGAGCTGTGGGGTGGTTTTCTGTACCAGCTTGAATTTGCAGAGAGCTCATGGCCTTGTGCCCAGGTGTACTGTACGGCTGTCTTCCAAGTGGAAAAAGATAAGGATGTGTATAATTGATGCCAGGGACCATTAACTGCTGGGAAGGAATGGAGACTACTATTCAGCCAGAGACAGTAAAATGTTTGACATGCTGATGTTGCTGTGGGAAAACCTAGCATCAGCAGGATCCTGGGATACTCGTAAACCACAGAATTTTCTTCCAGCTACTGACAGAATTCCTGCCTAATTTGGGTTCAGTTTCAACCAGGTATTCTTTGTCATGTGCTGGTCTTTTCAGATCAGGTTACTTCAAGGAAAATAATTTGTGGGGAAGGATAGATACAGCTGTACATCACCTGCATGCTACCGGCACTTGAATCTTACCTATTTGTGGAGGAACTGAATGTGATGTTTACTGGTACTGCTAGGGAATAGGTGACCTCCAGTCATTTCAGTAGTTCCAACCGGAGGGCCTCTTGTCAAGAAGGAGGTAAAAAAGTTGTTTTTTGTGAACTGTTAGGCTGCTCTTTGGCTGACCTTGCAGCTGAAATGTCAAATTTCACATGATTTTCCCATGTAATCAGGAGAAATGAGTGTAGTAAATTTCATGATCATAACTCAAAAGGTCACTTGAATATTGGATAGCAAACAATGAAGGCAAAGTGCCCTTTTGGTGACATCTGATGGAAGGTTCAAATATGTTGCTCTTAATGAATGAAATTAAATTTTGCTGAGATTCTACCTCATTTGAAAAAAGTAAATTAATAGCCAATCACTGTTTTACATCTGTATTTTTTTTTTCAGTCCAGTTTAATACAAGTAGCTGCATATGCTTCTTGTGGGGGTTTTTTTTGGTTTGGTTTTTTTTTGTGTGTGAACTTTAATCCTAAATCTACTGTTTCATATGAGTATAACCAGAGGGAAAAAGGTTATAAATTTGGAACCTTGATTTAGATATTCAAAAGAATATATGAGAAAATGCAGATACTCTCAGAAGTTACAAAAATATTGGTTCCATTCCAGTATTGGTCTGATCTCTGTCTAAAAATGGTCAGTTTTCAAAGGATGTGTTCTTAATATGATATTTATTTAACAAATAGAAATAATATAATTCTGAAAATAACTACATCTAAATAGATACATTCTTAATATAGGTCATGGTATAAGTAATATAGAAATGAGATATAAATTTTGAAATCCTAAATATAAATTCTGAAATCCTAGACCAAAATGAACTTTCTGTAAAGTTTTAAGATTATTTTTAGTCCAATTTAGGAATTGCATTAACATGACACTGACTAATATTAAGTTCTTGTAGTAAGTAGAAGTGTTGAAAACTACACATGTATACAACTGTTCCTCTACTTAATTTTGACTTGAAGAACCAGAAGAAAGTTAATGGTCAGGAGCAAATGGCACG